CAGTGATTAATTTTTACCACTAATCATATATCTTTTTCTTACTAAGAATTTAGCCCCAGAGTTTGTCCTATCTGAAATTTAACAGAATTCTTTTTTCCTCCTTTCTGAAATCAGATGTTATACTACTGGGTTCTTATCTGAAATGTATAATCCTTTATCATTTTCGGCCAGCAACCAAACCTAATTGTCCTGGGAGGAATTAATTTTATGTCCCTGCTCAAATGTTTATACATATTAGTAGGGATGAAATGCATAGGGCTGGCCAGCCAGGATTGAAGATGTGGTAACAGTCTGGTAATGTTATTGTGTTACCAAGGGTTCTTTCAACCCAAAGCTCTTGGTAACTTTTACTCTGTGCAAGGTGGTGTCAGGAAATAAATCAGGGGAGACATGGCTGTCCAACCAATAGATGGCTGGCACAAACAGGACAACACAAGAGTGCTTTCACTTAAAGCTATACTTTACTTAGTCTCAAGCACTTACACACGTCTGCAACAGGTTAGTAAAACACCCCCAACCCTTGATAATTACCAAAGCAGAGTGTGGCTCTTGAGTGAAACAGCAGCAGGCTTCTGGTGGCCAAATCTTCCATCTGCCGGTGGACACCGTAAGGTGTATCCAGAGGGAGAGTCCCCAAACAAGTCCAACTATCTCAAGCTTTTTCCCCTTATTTATACATTAGTAATAGAATGACATGTCCCTTAAAGAAAACTTGTAAAGTAAGCAGTTCCAATGGGCAAGCAAGAGGCTCCTTCTGATTATTGATTAACCAGGTGTGGGTTTTTCCAGAGTTTGCAGCCTTGAGACCCCAATAGACATTCCTGGGGCACATCCTACTCTTTTAAAATGCATGTATCAGCAATTTCAGCACAATTCTTATCAGCAAGGACACAGGATCAAGCTGCCTTTTCTGTGGCACCCCAAACCCCCGCCCCTCCTGCCTTGGTCAAGCTGAGACTGCTGAATGGCCAATTTACCACTTGCTGACTAGGCTGCCTTTAACAATAAGCCATAGTGGTTTCAGGCACTTTACTGGTTTGCCAAAATCTCCCCGTACAATTGTAGATTTGTCCTATGCATGACTGAAGGTCTTATTCTGCTCAGAAAATTTGATATACTGATCCCTATTGGAACTACATTTTTTCCCTTTTTTATTCTATATTTCAGGCATAAAAGATTAAATTTTTATTAGCACAATTTAGATTAATGGTGTTATGCTAGGAGGTAAAACAAAAATGTATTGCCAATATGACTCTTATATTCAACTAAGAACAATAAGTGCGTATGGAATTTGTTGGCAGGAGTTGCTGGTTACCAGAGGTCTGAGAGTTGCAAATGCCAGAATAACTTAGAGAAAGCTCCCCCCACTCTTCTCCTAGAATTTAAAGGAGGACCCACAAGAGTCTCCTGGCACCAGTCCTGAGCTTATGGAACCAGGTCAAAATGATGGTTTCTGGTGTCACCCAAAACAGTGTTCAATGTGTGGGAATAGAAGCAGCAATTTTCCTCTGAGCAAAACTCTCTGTAAAATATGACAGAGTATTTGTTTGAGGGTGATGACTGTTGGGCTACTTGGGCCTAAAAATTTACCCTACTTCTGAGCTCAACTGTAAGGAGTGAGGGTAAATCATAAGGTGTCACAGTAACCGATAACAACAAATGTTATTGAGAAAAGTTGCAAAAGGGAGACAGATTAAATTAGTTCAAACAAAAATACCTACTGATGTAATTCAAGGACTGTGTTAAGATCATGTCTGATAGACAAGAGAAGTGTGGAACCAGAACTAAGTGAATCAAAATTGGTATGTCAGAAACGGGGCCTAATTGGTGGACAAAATAATGAGGGGATGGGTTATTCTGCCCATTACTTCCTTTTGGGGTCCTTAAAAAAAAAAGACACACAGTTTGGGGGTGAGGGGGAATTGGCTACTGGAGTGAACATCATGGCTGCTATCCACACTCTCCTGGGACACTGGACCTTTGTCATGATACCACTATGTCTACTGGCTCTGGTTGACTCCCAGTCTTTCTCTCTCTCCCAGCCCTGACATGTTCACCACCTTATTCCTTCTCTTTCCTATCCCTCTTCTCTTTCCTTCTGTCTAGTAAGAGTCTGGCTTAACTGACCCAGACTGCATATTTTGCAACTCTGATGTAAGCCTATGACCAGGAAGAAGGAACTCAAAGCAATGCCTCAAAGAACCCAACGCTGGTATAAGTTTTCCAGGTCTTCGAGTAGGTGATGAGAACGTGTGCTCTGCCTGTGTTTCCCCAGCAGCAAGATTGCATGTGGGAATCCTCACCAGAGACAGAAGCTGCATTTTCTATTTTTTCTCTCCTCTTTTTTTTGTTTCTCTGGATTTGTATTCTAGGAAATGAAACTGGACTTTAACAACAGCAACAATGATGTCTCCAGCCAAGCTCAACTAACTTCTTTTTTCCCCCAAAAGCAGTTACCATTTTTGATGCCATCTAAAAAGACTGTTAAACAAGGGTTTCTTCCTTCTAAAAACTCTCCATCTAAAGATGGTGGGTCAAGGGATGTTAAAATGAAAACCTTACTTTACATTTCAAATACTTTAACTGTTTGTCCTTCTTTTCTGTATCTTTTTAATAGACTAAAAGTGTGTTTAATGGTATGTTTGTGATACTAAGAAGGCTATGGTCTCTGTATACCAAATCTCACTATACTTGTTTAAAACTGTTTAATGTTGGACAATTACTGGTATATGTTAGTACCTTTGACCCATATATTCCATCTAAATTAATATAACAAGACTCAGTCCCAAAATTATTGGAGAAACTACAAAGGATAATTGCATGGACAAGTCTCTACAACCATTGCGAAAGATCTGTGTATACTTCACAGTCAGTGCTAACTGGCTTTACATTTAGCTTTGATGTGGGAATTATATTTGAATTTCAGCCTGGTTGTGCTAATGTAATACTGCCAGGTGAGATTTATCCAGTGTGTGTTTAGAATTTCATTAGAAGAAATTCATTTTGTCCTATGGGCACAAACTAGCTACTGACTAACCCGAACTTTTTCCTTTAATCCACGTGCTAGGGCTAGTCTGCTGAAAATAAAGATAATGCCTTCACTCTCTAGTGATATCACCTCATCCTTCTCTTTGTTTCTTTATCCTTTTCCAATTTATGGGGCTGATCTTCCACTTGGGGAAGTCCGTGTCAAAGGTCCCATTAATAGTGCAGGATCAGGTCATTTTGGTGGTCTTTCATGCTGACTCATGCCTGGAACAAATTGCTTATAAAAATGCACCAGTCTCCCGCTCTTTTAATCCTTCCTGAAAATCCATTCAGCCATGAAGCCCATAAAAAGTAGCATATATCACTGTAATGTCATCAAAACTAATGGTGTGTGTGTGTGTGTGTGTGTATATATATATATATATATATATATATATATATATATATATATATATATATATATATATAT